AGAGACCATGGTTTAGAAGAATCAGCACACTTGCTCTGTTATACCCCACCTTGCCCTACTTTCTACTTCTGGAAGCTATGAGTAAATTAATTCTGAAATTGACAACGAAAAGATTGTATTGATCAGCTGCCTGATAGGTATATCCATCATTTCAGTAATTCCTCAAATGAAAACAGCCTACCCTGGCTATAGTTTCCCTTTTATTTGCTATTTCTCTCATTATAATGTAAGCACCTTGAGGTGAGAGGAAGATTCACTTTTATATTTGTATCTCAAGTTCTTATGTTAGTGTTTGATGCACAGCACGGCTTAACAAATCTTCTTTCATTCATTAACAGACAGAACAGGTACCTGAAAGACAACACAGGCACTATATGGAAGGAAGGGTCTTTTTTAATGTTGAATGTGTCAAGAATTTGCATTCCACTTTTTGTATATGAGCTGCCATAACAAGCACAAGGAAGGGCCCTTTAATGCACATACTGAAAAGTAGAAAATTTCCTCCTCTTAGCAAATAGGGTGAAAGCAAACTTGTTAAATTGGGCTTTATTAAAAATGGCTTTGGTATGACCCAGGTTGTGTGCACATATGTATGTATGTATTCCGTAGCGAGTCAGTCCGTCCACTGGTTATATACATACATATATGCACACAGTTACACATATGGGCATGATTATGTTTCTGTGCACAGATAGTAGTTATATACATGTATATGCACATTAAGTGTATTGTATATAGAAGCATGACATGTGATTATGTGTGTATGTAGCAAAAATATTATCCATGTACATAGGCATGCGCACACATGTGCATGATTAGGCATGCATACATGATTATTCTTATATGTAGTCACATACATATATGTATACATGAATATGTACATGTGTCTGAATGTATTTGAGTACATTATACACGTTAGTTATATACATGTAACATTCATAGAGAAGTTTCCTGCATCTATTGTCGTTGTTTTTGTGTAGTCATTTCAGTCACGTCCAACTCTTTGTGATACTATTTGGGGTTTTCTTGACAAAGATCCTGGAGTGGTTTGGAATTTCATTCTCCAGCTCATTTTACAGTTGAGGGACTGAGACAAACATGGCTAAATGACTTGTCCAGGATCACACAGCTAGTAAGTGTCTGAGACTGAATTTGAACATGGGTCTCCCTGACTCTATGTCTGGCACTCTAGTATTTGTGCCACCTAGGTGCCCCAGCATGAGTTAAACTACATGGCTATCAAGGTATCTTCTGACTCTAAGACTCTATATGTGTATGTATATGTGCATGTATGTTAACATGTATGTGGATATGTATGTAAACACACACGTACATGTTCATATAATGATCTGAGTTTAGTTCTATTAATGTATACTTATGCATATGCACGTGAATTTAGTGTGTCACTATACATGCATGTAATAGTCTACTATATCAATAGATTATAAAATCTTTGAGGGCAGGAAATATGCCATTATTATCCTTATTCCTCCAGTATGCGATACAGCTTCATACACATAGTGAACACTTTAAAAATGCAGTAAAACTAAATATTTAAATGAGTACATACATCCTTACATGTTCAAGTGTATTAAGAAAACATATATTCATATCAGTTATCACAAGTGTATACAATGCAAATATTATATACATTTGAATACACATGCATATTTGAATATATTGTATTATATAATATATATATTGAATATGCCTATTTTATGTTTATTCAAATACATTTAAGTCAGTGAATATGCACATATCTGTATACATGTATTGTCATTTGACTATTCACGTATACACACCTTATATTGTTTCATTTAAATGAAAGCACATGAACATTTACAAAACTAAAATGTGTTTATAATGTTCATTTGAACCACTCATATACGTATATTCACACTTTGTGCATCTATTTGTGAATAGGTTGTATATGTATAAATATCTTAATTTGCGGGGAGAAAGAACTCCCTCCATTAAGGCAGCTCAGTCTACTGCTTGACTTCCTAAGATGGGTGACCTCAGGGATGTCATGAGGCTTAGGCTTCCAGTTTGTGACTGCTCTCTGGATATCTCTGCTAGGTGAAAAAGTAAAGGAAATTCCGTAGCGAGTCAGTCCGTCCACTGGTTATAGTACATGCTTGTAATCACCACTAGGGCGCCAGCATGAGAGCTGGCCATGAATGTTGTGTTCTGACGTGATGACTTTTCCCTTCAGCACACTTCCCCAGTGACTTCCTACCTCCTGAGCTCTTGGTTCAATTTCCTGAACTTTTTTCTCAGTCCAGATGTCTTCACCCTTTCTCCAGCTCTGACTTATGTTGTTCACTGTTTTGTTTTGTTTTTTCTTGTGTCTCCATTCTTTATTCCCTGGAAACCAAGTTCTCTCAGGCCAGACTCAATAAAGACTTTTATACTCATTATTTTTATCATCATCTGGCCATAGCTCTCATGATTCTGGAACATATTTCTATTCCCATAACATATTACTTTTTACGAGAGTGAGTTCCTATGCTTATGGCCCACTGTCCACAGATTGGTCCTGACTAATAATTGTAGGAACACATTCTCACAAATTAACATTTATATTTTCAGCCCCTCTGCTTGGCTTTTGTTAACTTTAATGCGCCTTTGAAGTCCTATATAAGGTCTTTATCAAGGAAAAGAATGTAGGGCACCAAAGTCAGAGAACCTATGTCTCATTTCTTCCCAGGATGGTTAGAAAGAGATCCCCTAACCCTTGGTCAATCATTCAGTCTCCTAAGGTTATATCCCGGGCTTCTTTCTTTTTTTCTCTCTAGACTATCTCATTTGGCAATTTCATCTGCTCTCACTGATTCAACTTTCATTTCTATGCAGATACATCCCTAGACTCTCTCCTGTCCTACTGTTAAGGATTTCCTACTGCCTCTTGGACACCTCAAACTGAATCCTCTGTAAGAGTCTTTAATTCAATATGTCCAAAACAGAACAAATTATCTTTCCCATCAAATTCTCCCTCCTCAAAAAGTAGTCACATAGCACAGTTCCCAGCCTATAGTAGGTGCTTAATAAGTGTACATTGACTATTTGTTTGCAAGGATCAATTGAGATAATGCATGTGGCCTAGAAGCCACAAATTTTGTCTCATAGCCATTAGAAGAGATGGTTTGGAAGATAGCAGCTATCAACGAAGTGCTGAGCATACACGTTCAGAATTTTTCTGAGGCACATCTTAAACCAGAAATATTTTGTTATATTTGTACTATTCTGCCTGATGACATTTATCTGTGAAAGTGGATTCATTTTGGTTAAATAATTCTCTCTGTTTCAGCCATTCTTGTGTTTGGTGATATTGAATTTATCACTTCACTCATCCATTCATTTACTTATTCTGTAATCCTTTAAACATATTCATATTGTTTTCACAATTCTTTGCGTGGTGTTGAAGGAAACAAAAGAAGCATCAGACAAGATGGTCAATCTCCTGTGATTTAAGTTATAGTTGGGAAAATAAGACAGACATAAATTAAAATCCATTGAATTCAATAAATATTTGCTGCCTACTAATTAGCTATATCAAAGGTCCACTTGCTAAATGTAATAAGAAAGGTTTAATGTGTTACAGTTGTTCAGAGAGGAAGAAGATCACTTCCAGATTTAGGGATTGGGTATCTCAAAGGGCTTCCTGGAAGAAGTAGCATTTGAAATATCAAAAGGCTTGAGTTTTGGTAGGTAGAGGTAAATAAAATTATCTGGTAGTTTTATATGTATCAATTTTTTCTCCTCAAGTTGATTGAAAGCTCTTTGGTGAAAGGTGCTATGTTTTCTACCTCTTACATGTTCCTCAACCTCTGGCCTGGGATTGAAATATATATAGATTTCCTGAATTGTATTTCAGAGAAATGAAATGATGTGCCATAGGTCTCACAGGTAACAGGTTCAGTAAAGAAGAACAAGGACTTGGACCTAACTTCTCTGACTTCAGATCCAGAATTCTCTTTCCCAAGGTGCAACTTGCACATCTCTTCAGCACCCTACTCGGTGCCCAGCACAAGAGAATACATAGTCAATGCTCCTAAGTGTTTGGTGATTCTCTGGCTGATTTGTTACTTCACCATCTAGGCATCTCTCTGAATGTTTCCATTTTAGTCTCTTCCCTGTTCTTCAATGAGCAGCCTGAAATGGACTTCCTGCTGTGCCAACAACAGACAGACTACTCCCCAGGCCAATTGTAAATAATAGCCAGGCAAAAAGTGCACCCAGCAGTTGTTACCGACATCACCCACTCTGCCTATTATTTATTGACATTAGCCACCCCTCACATTTCTTTCACTTCTGCACTCAGTCTGCACTTCTAAACAAAAGCGTCTTAATCTGTAATATTTTCCCATCTCCCTGCCCTATAAGGATAAAAGGAAGGAGGAGGTCATTCTCTTTAGGCTGGTGACTTGCTACAGTATAAGCAGTTAAGTCATCCATTTATAGAACAGAGTAAAGCAGAGATTCTGAGTAAGAGAATGGGAATAAAAAGTTTGGCAACTCCCAGCTTCTTGGTATGGATCCATTTGTCTGTTGGCAAGGCAAATAGAATTAAATGACTTGCCGAGGGTCACACAGCTAGTAAGCATCTGAGGCTGGATTTGAACTCTGGTCCCCTTGACTCCAATGCCAATGCTCTATCCACTGGTCCACCTAGCTGCCATGGTATGGATCCATTTTCAGAGAATTTAGTTACTTTCTTTCATGAATGTAAGTTATAAGATATATTGAATTTCTAGACTATAAAAACAAAACAGAATAAAAATTAGGTGATTTGGGATTCCACATGTATCTGCTCTATTTGTATAGGATCAAAAGTCTAGTGGTCTTCCATAACACTAAGAGGAAGAAACTCTTTCTGCATCACCTCACAGATCCACATATCAGAGGCCACGGGTGTAAGCTAACTCCCAAAGCTAGACCACAGTGTTCATTCCTTACAAATTTTCATCTACAGCTCCATCTGTCCCTCAAAGCTCAGTTCATTCTCCAGCAGTGACCCTCTGAACCCAGACCCGTCTCTGTAGAGCGGCCTGGATCTGCCGGGATTTGAGACTATAAACCAGAGGGTTAAGAACTGGTGTGAGGAGGAGGTAAGCATTGCTCATGGTAGCATAGAGGAGTGGGGGTGTTCCATGGGCATAGCGGTGCATCACAGCCAGGCTGATGAGAGGGAGGTAAAAAATGAGTACAGTGCATAGGTGACAGGCACAAGTCTGCATAGATCGTAGGCCCCTGTCACTAGCTCCCAGCCTCAGGACAGTGGTCAAGATTTTCAGGTAGGAGGCTATGATGAATAGTGCATCCACTGCAAAGGTGCAAAGTACAAAGACTAGCCCATAGGCACTGCTGAATGTAATGTCCCCACAGGCCAGTGTCAGCAGGTCTGGGTAGTAGCAGTAGGAGTGGGAAAGAATGTTGTCTCTGCAAAAGGAAAATTGCTGAGGAATGAGGGCAGTGGAGCCAGCAGTACAGCACCACGTATGAAGGCAGCCCCACCAAGGCAGACAATGGCATGGCTAGTTAGGATCTGGGAATAGCTCAGTGGGGAACAGATGGCTACCAGGCGGTCAAAGGCCATGGCCACAAGGATTCCTGACTCCACAGAGGAGAGTGTGTGAATGAAGAACATCTGGGCCAGGCAGGCATCCAGGCCAATCTGGTGAGCACCAATCCAGAAGGTGCCCAGGACAGTTGGCAATGTCGATAGGGAGAGGCCCAGGTCAGTGAGTGCCAGCATGGCTAGGAAATAGAACTGTGGCTCGTGTAAGCTCTGCTCAGTCCTAACAAGGAGAAGGAGAATAGTATTTCCTATCAGGGCCATGAAGTAGAGGAGGCAGAAAGGAATGGAGATCCAGACGTGTAAATTTTCTAGTCCAGGGATTCCAATGAAGATAAAGGCTGGCTGTTCATCAGTGGTGTCATTGGGAGCCAACATGGTGGGTGGCTATTAGAACTGGGGCTTAGGAAGCTCTAAGACCTGAAAATAAAAGTAAGAGATCCAAAAAGATAATAATGTGAACATATTTTGGAGATAATTCTAACTTGCAGGGGTGTCAATGAAGTAATGGAATGCTACTCAAAGGAGGTTGATGAGCTCAGATGTTATCATATTGACACAATTATCTGGGAAAACAGTCAAAGATATGTATTCCTCCCAGTGCTAACTTATTCTCCAGGAAATCTTCTGCAAGATTCAGGTAACTGTACCATTATATTCCAGGGTATTCCATTCTTTTGAGCTATTATTTCACCAAGTGGTTTCATTACATGCAGTACATCACATCTCCCTGTCAAGGTCATGAACTCTATGCACTTTTTCCAGGGTGTGGTTGTGACTAATTAGTGGAATGATGGGATGGTAGTTGGGCAGGCAAACAGAATTGGGTGGCCTAGCTGCACAGAAAGAGAGGGAAGGAGAGGATGAGCTTTCTCCATACCTAGAATAATCAGCAATGCTGAGGTACAATGTTGGAAAGCTACAGAGAGAGCCACCTCCAGAGGTCCTTCACCTTAGGCATCTGTGGAATCAAATAATGTAGATGAGAAAGTTGAGGCCTTGGCAGGGAAGTCAAACCTGGGAGGTTTGACATGCCTAACGCCAAAGGCCAAGTCAGGCCCAGAGCTAAAACTAAAATCTAAGTCTCGTGAATTTTAAATCTAATGACTTCCATTCCCACCCACTCCAATAGTTAGTATCTTCCATCTGAGATCAGCTTCTATTTATTTACGTTGTATATATCTTGTGTGTACAGTGGTTTGCATGTTTTCTTCTCAGTAGAATGTGAGCACCTTAAAGGCAGAGAGTGATTTTTTTCCTTTCTTAGTATTCTCAAGTCCTTAGTAGGGTGTCATGCTTAAAACATACTTTTTAACTGACTGTTTTCACTACTGCAAAATGCCTTCTGTACTTCTAACAGTTGTAGCAGGTAAACTATGTAGAGGAAGTGAAAATTACACATGGCAGGGGGCAAATGGTTGTAGATAGAATTTATGTAAGCAAATGATATTTAATTCATTAAGAAAGATCTCTGAAAAAGTGAATTGTGAAGAATCTTTTGGGAAACCCCATATCCAATCAGCCATTATTACTAACCTATTATTCCATTATCAACAAATACTTATTAAGTAACTATATTAATGTGCCAGGCAATATATAATATCATACATTGTGATACACATTGTGGTATAGTGTTTTTAATTTAAGTATGTAATTTAATTTAAGTAAGTAATTTGTTCTTTCTGCTAGGCTATGAGTTGCATGAAGCTAGTTGCCTGTGTTTATAATTTTTTCACTATCTCTGGAAATTGTATAGGGTTTATTGATGTTAGGAAGGAAGCAAAAAGACAGGTGTATATTAAGCATCTCCTATATGACAGGTATTGTACAAAGTGCTTTATACATATTTTCTCATTTGATCCTCACAGTAACCTTGGGAGGTAAGAGGTGCAATGATTATCTCCATTTTGCAGATGAGTAAACTGAGGCATGGAGAGGTTAAGTGATTTGTGTAGGGTCATACAGCTAGGGAAATGTATAAGGGCAGATTTGAATTCAGGTTTTCATTACTCTTGCCTAAGCACTCCCTCAATTGTACCACCTGGCTGGATTTCGTATATATGATAATTAATAAAGGAATCTAATCTGAACTTATCTCACGCTAAGACAACTTTACACCTCTTCTTTTGATTCTCTCAATTATCCTGTGAAAAGGGAACACTTGGATTACTGATTGATGAAGAAATAAACCCCAAAGAGTTTAAGGGACTTTTTTTTTTTAGGCAATTGGGGTTAAATGGCTTGCCCAGAGTCACACAGCTAGTAAGAGTCAAATGTTTGGTGTGAGGCCGGATTTGAACTTAGGTCCTCCTGACTTCAGGGCTGGTACTCTATCCGCTGCACCACCTGGCTGCCACAAGAGCCTTTCTTAATATCAAGCTGTGAGTCAGTTTTGGAGCCAGGTTTTGGCTCTGGATCCAGAAGTCTCCACTGTACTACATTGCCTTATGTCTGTAGGGCATGAATTTGTGGCTTCATTTGTTATAGGGAATTTCCAGATAAGATATCTCCCTCTACCAATGCAGATTGGCGTCTTCTCTGGAACTTGTAGTCTTAGAAAATTACCTATAGCTTTGAGAGGTTATGTTACTCTCACAGGGCTACATACACATCAGAGGCAGGACTTAAACTCAGGTCTTCCTGACTAGCTCTCTATTCCTGTACCATGTCCTTTCTACATAATTTGCTTAAAGCAAGGAGTCTTCAAATATCATGTAGAAATACCACTGTGTGTGGAATTTAATGATCTGGATTATTCCATTATCAACAAATACTTATTAAGTAATTATATTAATGTGCCAGGCAATATATAATATCGTACATTATGATATACATTGTGGTATAATATTTTTAATTTAAGCATGTCATAAATCTTTATGTGTTTCCATTTCTTCTTCTGTAAATAAAGGATGATTACACTTCCATTATCTACTCCCCAAGGATGTTGTGAAAAATCAGTGTGATGGTGGATATGAAGCACCCAGAAGTCAAAACAACATGTAATTGAATTGTTATCATCATCATCATATCATTTCTCCGCTTAAGATTCACTCCAATGTATACTCATAGCATGATGGTAGCACTGAGTTCTTGAAGACTGTAGCAATAGGACATAGTCTCTGGATGATCCAGTCAAGCTAGAAAAGCTGTAAGTATATGTCTCCTAATATATTGTTTATCTGTTATCCTAGTGCTAATCTATTCAAATGTAGAGAGGTATATCACTAGAAGAGTGGTCAAAAGCTGATGAAGTTGAAGGGTAGTGGCAATTCATGAAGTTGGCCTGACAAGATACATAGGGGACCAAACTGTATTAGTGGGTTCTGTTCTTTTCTGGGAAGAATACAGAAGGATTATAATACATGGTTCTTGCTTTCCAATATCTAACAGCACATGATATAACAAAGAACTATATAATTTTCTATTTCATAGAAAGGGAAATAATATCAGATGAATGGTGGAAGAGAGGTGCACTAAGCTGGCAAATGGAGAAATCAACTTAATGTTTGGAGTTGTAAGGGAAGGCAGATAACTGGTTGATTCATGCAAAATGAAAGATGAGAGGAAGGTCAGACTTCTTGAAGAAGGTGCCATTTTAGTAGGCTTCAAAAAGATGGGTGGAAAATACTACAAAAATGGAAAATGATAAATATTGGAGGGTCTGTGTTAAAACAGGCACATTGATGCACTCCTAGAACACCTGAGGATAGTTCCAAACATTCTGGAAAGCAATTTGAAATTATATTTAAAAGTATATACATATGTGTGTGTGTGTGTGTGTGTGCACGCACATGCAGGCATGTGTGTGTGTATATATGTATATATATATATATATATATATATATATATATATATATATATGTGTATATGTATGTATGTATGTATGTATGTATGTATGTATGTATGTATGTATGTATGTATTTCTGAGGCAACTGGGGTTAAGTGACTTGCCAGACTCACACAGCCAGTGAGTTTTATGTGTCTGAAGGCAGATTTGAACTCAGGTCCTCCTGACTCCAGGCCGGGTGCTCTATCCACCGCGCCACCCACCTGCCCCGAAAAATATATTTTTGTAATTTTTTTTTAATAGAGGAGGTGAAGTTGTGCTACAGATATGAATTGTTGCATGAACTTTGAGATGAGTCCGTTGTATTCTTAGTTTTACTTCCTTATTTTATACTGTTACAGGAAACCACTTACAAAGTGGGAACAATCTATAAATGTAATGTAAAAATGAAATATATCAACAAAATTTTTAAAAATTATATGAGAGACATGAAGTATGGGACGTGTGACATTTCTTTTTTACCTTAAAAGCTGGAGATTTGTCTGTCCTTCTGAGGGTTTATAATAGCCATTAGTCTATTGATAAGCCCAGGTATATAAGTACTGAACATATAGATGACCAGAAGCAAGCAATTTTTGTTTTTAAATTTTGCTTCACAGAAATACTGACAGTTGACATGTGCAAGTTATACAAGGTCTTGGAGCCTCATTTCCTATCTGTAAAATAGTGATCCTAACACTTCTACATCCTGTTGCGGTGAAGAAAGAACTTTGCCCACTTTAAAGCACTACAGAAAATTATGTTATTATTGATTTTACTCTCCATTTTGCCACTGTTTCCTTTCCAATTACTTTTGCACATGTTTAGGTAGCCCATCCAGTCCATTCAGCTGTCATTACATCCCCTTTGCCCCATTCCATAGCTAAACTTCTTTAAAAAGTTGCCTATATTTAATGAATATTCATCCACATTAGCTACTCCACATACTCACACCTTTGTAATCTAAGTTCTACTCCCAACACTTTACTGAAACCAATTTCTCTAATGTTAACAAGGATCTCCCTCTGCAGCTTTTGATACTACCATGTTTTCTCTCTTGACTTGGTTTCAGAGACCACATATTCCCCCTTTTTCAACTCCTACCTACAATCAGTCTTTATTTTCTCTTTCCCTGGCTTCTTATCCCTTTTCCAACCCCTTAATTAAGAAGTCTACAACTGTTTAATCTTGATCTTCATTTCTCTTTCTACATTATCACAATTAGCAATCTCATCTGCTCTCACAGGTCATTACAAAGTCTTTATCTCTAGCCTTGACCTCTCTTCTGAGCTTCCAGACCCACATCTCTGGCTGCTGATCAGATTTCTCCACTTGCATGTCCTGCCAGGAATTCAAATTCAATGAAAGATTATGACAAAACCTGATGCCTTTCCTCCTAAATCTTTCTGATGACTTCACGTTATCCATATTAGCATCCATGTCTTCCTTTTCAAAAATCTTGCAGGTAATCTTTGATTCTTCCCTCTTTCTCTCCTGTCATATCTAGTCAGTTAAGTCCTGTTTATTACACCTCTTAACATCCCTGGCATCC